TTCTAGTGTTTCAGGTTCTCTAAAAATGCTTGAAAGCATCTAGAGATCAGTAGCGACATCCTGTTCCTATTCTCTCTGTTGCTGCTCACAGCTGTGCAAAGCATGGGCAATCATCTCCCAGGTTTGGAGACCACTTGAGCCTTCTCCACCACAGCAATAGCTATGAAAGTCATTTCTCTCCAATGCACTAAATCTGCCCAGGACTGGATTTTGCTTCTCTCCAGCTGCCTAGATGAGGACATAAGGAGAAAAATCTTTTTACTTTGTTCAGTTGCCACGTAAATTCTGTGTGCAGGATTACAGATGCTGTGTGCTTCTGCATTCCCAGCCTTCCATGGTTGGCACAACAGCGAAAATGGATGGGCATTTAGTGTCATCAAAGGGAACAAGTTGAGCTTGGAGTAGTTGTGCAGCAAATCATTAGCCTTTGGGAACAACACAGAGTAATTTTGCAGGAAAGGATTAAGACCATGAAATAGGCTCTTTTAAGGCAATCTTCTTTCCTGGGGTATACAGGAAAGATGAGTTTCTTCTTTTTGCTCTTTTCCATCCCTTCTTGCACTGATTTAAACTTTTGTGATTTTGACACGATCAAATGCTTTCCCATCCAGCCACTCATTGCCAGTAGTAACACTGTACTACAACAACATTATAATCCTGAATTTTCTGATAGAGATAACTGCTTAAAACAGGACATCAAATTTCAAAGTTGACTGAAGCGAAAAATGGCCTATGTTCGTGGTGAGTTTTTCATGTCTTTATGCTTGGGCAGCAGAGACACATCAGCAGTATGAAACAGAAATGAGAGGAACTACAGAGGCTGATAAAGAGGGAGCTGAAAGGTAGTGCTTATTGACAAGGCATTACAGGACTAATTCTTGCATCCCTCCTATGGACATAAATGGACTTGGTTGGCAACAGCCAATAATAAATGCACCGATTAAGGAGGAGTGGGAAGGGACCACCTGCATGTCTTTTGTGGTGGCACAGTGGTGGTTGCAAAGTTATGGCTTGCTAATTCTATCTTAAAAATTAGCTATATTGTTCTCCATTAAGAAAGAAAATGGGGTCTTTGGGGATAGGTAAGAAGACGTGTTTTTTAAGAGGAAAATATTCTAGGTGACTAATAACAGAATCAGAAGAATCCTGATTGGTGAAATCTGTGGTTCCTGTTCTCTTCGAGGGGAAGAAATATTGTAGAAGAAAGGAAGGTGTAGAAGTACCCAATGCTTTTTCTGATCAAAACCATCGAACTATCCCTCCTTTCTAAGTGAGGTAGAAAGGAACTAGGAAGTGAATATACAACCTTGATCTTACTACCATAAAGGCACCTGGGGACTTTAGGCCTTTTTACAGAAACAAGGAGAATAAATTTTGCAAACGCAAATCACCAAATATTTAATGGGTTCATAATGTCAAGCAATGCAGAATGCAATGGTAAATTGGACAAACTGGGACTATTTTCCATTATTGCAAGTGTATGTGAAACACTAATTTTCTCTATTTAAATGCCTGACAGCTACCCAATGCCAGCATATGTTTCCAAACACATTTTCCAAACGATTTCTCAGTAATACGTTGTAAAAGTGTGTTTTAAATTAGAATGGAGAATTAAAAAGAAAAAAAATTAGGAAATTCCTACTTTCAGAATTGCAAGAGAACCAAGTTGTCAGGAAAGGGCCATTTCATATTGGCCTTTTTGTACAGTGCTTCTTAATCTTAGATCTTTCAGAGTTCTACTCCTGTTTTTATCACAGATGGTATGCTTTTTCCTTTGGGAAGGGATGTTATAACAGTGCCAAAGATTTTCTTCTGCCTGACTCAAGCACAAGATAATACCCTTGTCAATGGCTAGCAACTCTTTAAAAAGCATGAAACCTGCTGTTCTTGAAGAGCTGATCTGTGCTGCTTATGAGGACACAAAATACACATTACATATATACATGTAAAATTATAATGTAAATTTATTGAAAGGAAAAAATATAGACATCCAATTCTTTAGCAATGAAATAAGAGATAAAAGCTTGAGAGATAACAATTGATTTAAGAAGCAATGCACAGTCTTCTAAAATGGGAACTACAAACAAAATATGTAGTTAAAGATATGATTTCATGTGTATTGTAGAAGTCATAATGTCTTGACAAAAGATTATACAGCTTTGAAAGAGGGAGTGTAACTTCTGCTATCACTTATATGCAGGAAATAACTGCTGATATTCACCTTCAGTCAGAATCTTGCTGTATTCGCTCCCATGCTCATCACTGAAACCCTCCACACAGCCGCATTACTAACCCCCCTCCACACTGGCAGTAACCCTTGCCAGTCTCTGCTTCAACCATTTTTAATTTGCTTTCCCTCTTCTCCCATTTACGCCATCTTAGGTCTCTTTGTAAAATCCTGGTGATGTAAAATGCATACATATCCCGTTATTAAAAAACAGTTCTCAAGGAACAATACTGGATTATTTTAGCATAGTGTGTCTTTAGCAATGCAATAATATATCTGATTCAGTTTACCTCCACTCCTTGATTCCCTTTATAAAATTTATCCCAAAGTTTAGTTTAGATAGGCAAAATACCTGTGTGTCTCTTTCTTACTTATGTTTTTTTTTCTTTCTTACATAAACGTATTTTTTCCTCTTTAGTCAGCTTTTTTATTCAAAATATGTGACTGTCATCTTAGAGCTTTTGATATCTAATGAAGGCTTATTTGTGTTATATCTCTATGTAAGGAAAATAGTAAATAAGTAAATAAACCCACCAATTATCTTCCTCAATTTAATGTGATAAAGGTTATTTGGTTCTTGTAAAAACAAGTATCTTTACTTTCATAGTGCATGAAAGAAACATCAGTTTCTCTGAGAAAAAAAAAAAAACAACAAACAACCCTATTTTGATTATTAAATTGCCAGGCTCATAGCCATACTGAGAGTCTTTAAATAGATAGTCCTGATCCTGTGTCTTCATTTGCTTTGTCCTGAGCAGTTTTGGTCAAATATCTTAAAATCTGATTGACTTAGGCTTGGCTGAAAACCATTGATCTAACGGTCAACCCTCCAAAGCTCATTACAAGCTCAAAGAATTGATTGAGATTTTAGAAGACTCAGTGAGGTTATCTCCGACAATGTGACTGGGCACATAAAATAGCTGTTTGCAACAAACTCAGCATAAAAGGAAAATATTTGGCTGGCTTCATGTTAAACTGCAGCAATTCCAATAGACATTTTCTTATTCGCCAGTGCGGCTGGTACGCAAAATTTAATGAAAAAGCTGTACCTTTACTCATATCTCTAACAAGTTCTAGGTAGTCAAGAGTGCTATTAATATTTTTCAAGGATCTAAAAGTTATTTGATTTAGAATTGGGTACTTACCAGAAAAATATAATACCAATGGCACAAAAAATATAGTATCAGCTACCCTGAAATGGATATCAGCTTTATGTCAAGATTGTTTTGTGACTGTACTGCTGCAACTATAGAAGAAAGCAAGAGTCTGCCTTTTGAATACCACTGCTTTTGAACATCTCTGCTGTGTCCTGCTTTGCTCCACCTAAAGAGACATGAATTCACTTCTGACACTTTCTACAGCTATTCTGTATTAATTTAATCATTATTTGAACTTTTTTTAATGGGTAAAGGTATGAACTGGAGCCTTCTACCCATCAAGAGAATGCTCTAGTCACCACATTATCAGATATGCTGAGGTTTGTGTCCTTGTCTGCAATTCTTCACACTTGTTGAATATCTTTCTCATTCCATGCAGTTCTTCTGTCTGAGCAGCCGGGGTCTTTCAGTCCCTGATGGAGACAATGAAGGGTCTTTTGGTAAACCAGAATGACATCAAGCAAAAGGTGCTAGCCCTTTTCATTTCAAGATGCTTCATTTTTCTCAGACAGATAAAGAGTTTTAACCAGGACTCCCGATACAACTGCCCCTAAGCTTTGTCAGCTCCATTCTTGGTGAGAATTCCCCCTTCATTCCTGTCTTCTGTTTAGCTATACACACAAAATGCTTGTTTGGAATTTAATTTCATAAACAACTCTATTCTAGCAAAACAAAAGGATTTGCTTTCTTTGCATGTTTTGTTTCACTTCTTGGCCAACCATGTCCTGGGGAGCATCAGGCAAAACATCACTGCCCAGTCAAGGGAGGGGATTTTCCTTCTCTGGGGTGGCCTCATCTTGAATAGTGTGGCAGTTTTGGGCACCATAATATAAAAAAGACATTAAGCTATTAGAGAGTGTCCAAAGGAGGGTAACAACAAAGATGGTGAAGGGTCTGGAGGGGAAGCCTTATGAGGAGTGTCAGAGGTCATTTGGTTTGTTCATCCTGGAGAAGAGGAAACTGAGGGGAAACCTCATTGTGGCCTTCAACATCCTCATGAGTGGAAGAGGAGGGGCAGGTACTAATTCCTCAATTCTCGTGACTAGTGACATGACTCAAGGAAACAGCATGAAGCTGAGTCAGGGGAGGTTTAGGCTGGATATCAGGAAAAGGTTCTTCACCCAGAGGATGGTTGATCACTGGAACTGTCTCCCCGGGGAAGTGGTCACAGCACTAAGCCTGTCTGAGTTCAAGAAGCATTTGGACAATTCTCTCAGGCACATGGTGTGACTCTTGGGATGTCCTATGCAGGGCCAGGAAGTGGACTCAGTGACCCTTGTGGTTCCCTAGCTCAGGATATTCTATGATTCTACAACTTTGTGATTGGCTGCCTGATCACTCCTAACCAATGAACCTCGAAACCAAGAACACTGTTTCTGCAGTCTTTGCTGTAACCATTTCTTCCACCTCATTTTCTTAAAGGTGTGCTGGCTACTGTACTGAGTGAATAAGCAGCCCAGTAATTTGAGCATCCTATTCAGCTCTGAATTTAATGTTTCGGGATTCAAATTATGCTTGAATTTTGCATATTTTCTATACAAAACATCTCTTAGATACAGTTTTTCATTTCCATCTATGCATATATCTAAGCATACTTTCACAGTATATTAGAAGACTTGTTTCTCTGAACCTAGCAGATGCTATGCTGTGGCTATAGGCATCCTCCTCTTACCCAGCTCATTTGAGCTTGTTATCCCTTTCTTTAAATTACTACTCTATATCTCTCTCACACTTCACAAGCTGTTTCAGAAACTGCCTTTCCAAGCCATCCCTGTCACACCCATCATTTTCTAATCATGATTGAAAGTGGAATATTGCCTCTGGTTAGTCTGTGGTGTCAGGCTCCTTTGCCCATGTTTTACATTTTCAGACAGGTGTCATCAAACTTTTTATCACTGTCACAGCTGGGAGGATCAATCTATAAGCATCAACAGAGCCAGTTACCTTCAGATATGTGGTCGAAAAAAACATCCACTGCTGGGATGCCTACAAAAATACACAGTGGTGAGAGACTGCTATACCTCCTGATATTATCTCTTTTTTTTTGTGCTCCTCATAGTGTCTCTGCTTGCTCAGAAATGTCACCTCTAAAGCAGGCACCATTCCCTTGCATTCTGCAACAACTCAAGTCCCATTCCACAGGAACCTTATGCTTATACAGATAATAATACATGAGTCTGTATTTCAAATCTTCCTCTGTTCTTATGTTGAACTGTAGCAGATTGCAATGTGTTTCCCTACTGCCAGGTATTGGTGGTTGTGTTGGCATATGAGTAAAAAGCTATCTATTAATCTCTGTTGCATCCAGGGATCTAGCAATGGAATGCTATCCAGGCAATTATTTTAATTGGATATAATCGCTTGGGAAATGGATGGATGAATGAATCAATTCAAGTTAATTGGGATAATGACATTATTTATGCTGGTCACCTTTTTTTACCACCATCTGTAGGAAGATTTCCAACTGCAAGGCCAAATTCTTCCACGATACAGATACACTGAGACTACTGCAATCAAAGTAGGAATGAATCTGGTGCATTGTAAGTATGGAAAAAAATTCCCTTACTTACTTATTTTGGAGAAACCATGTGTGCAGCTGATCTGGGAATACTACAAATTACTCTCTTTATTCCACTGTTGCTATCCTGTCATTAGTAGTGTTGCAACAGGAGGTGATCTTGGCACTTGTTCTAGCAGAAATGTATAACTTTTGCTTTGTTTACATACTTATGCAGCTCATTACTGTGTGAAAAACAATCTGCAGCTTAGCATTTGTTAATGGGATTCGGAACAAGGAAACAGCAGATGGAGTATAGGGATACTGAATGCATAATAAGTTTGATCCTGAAAGTCCTTGTGTGATTTTTCAGCTCAAGATGGTTGCTAAATTCCGCTGCAAAGTTGAGCAGAAACGATGCCTGTGTTCGAGCATGAAAACACATTTTTTGGCACTAAACAGACACAAGGGTCAGGCACTCTACACCTGATCAGCTCTTAAAGGGAAGCAAAAGGCACAGTTTTTCTTGTGATGAATTATTTATTTTACTGTTCTGAGAGGAGCTCTGAAAATAAGATGGTGCCGCAGTTTGACCTCAGCTTAACCAAGCCCCACAGAGCCATTAATTCCCTTCCCCTGCGTGGGATGGGGAGAGAATGAGAAGAGCAAAAGGGAGGAAACTCGTGGTTTGAGATAAAGACAATTGAATTAAGGAAAAGCTGCACATGCAAGCAAAGCAAAAGACAGAATTCATTCACCACTTTCCATGGACAGGCAGGTGTTCAGCCATTCCAAAGAAAGCAGGGCTCCATCACACCTAACAGTGACTTATGAAAACAAATGCTATCACTCTGAACATCACCCTGGTTTCTATACTGAGTATGATGCCATATAGTCAGGTATATCCCTTTGGTCAGTTGGAGTCAGCTGTCCTAACTGTGTTCCCTCCCAACTTCTCATGCTGCCCCAGCTTACTCGCCAGTAGGGTGAAGCTGAAAAGTCCTTGATTTAGTGTAAGCACTGCTTACAAACTACTGAAACTTCAGTGTGTTATCATTATTCTCATCTTAAATCCAAAACACAGCACTATACCAACTACTAGGAAGAAAACTATCCCAACAAAAGCCAGGAGAGACATTTCAATCCCCTGCAAGTGATCGAAATAAACTTTGCTGTGATATTGTCCTACCTACTTCTGTCTTCAGCTGAAGAGAAGTATAGTTCTGAATGTTATCTTCTGCTCACTTGTATGTCTAATGCAGACTGGTGCCCAGGAGGTTCATCTATCTGAGGACAAGTAAGCAGGACTATAACTACTTTGTACTAAGAGGTGTCTTCATTTAATGTGTTGTAGCACCTTTGCACCTCTCAGAAGCAGATCTCGGGGCAAAATGATTTCTGTATAACCTGTTTGTCCATCTTCATCTCTGTGTCAAGCTGAGTGACTCTTCAAGTCTGATAGAATAGACCCAAATCAGGTGTCTTCCAGAGATAAAGATCAAATCATTCTGTGACACCTGGATCAGGATACATTGAGCCCTGCATACGTCTGGGACTGCAGTATGGATTACACATATCTGCCAGGCTGCAGTGAGCTAACTCCAATTTTAAGAGCCATTTATGCATGACAATGGCTCTTCGACTCATCTAACACAGACTTGTTTAATAAATCACAACCTATCAAACTTCTAGGAAATGTTGGTGCAATGTGTGGCAAAAAAAAGTTGACCGTCTTTATATCTTTGTGACTGTATCCTAAATAGCTGCAACACAGTTTTCTGCACATACTGCATGACATGAGCATGAAGTATGAGAAATACTCTGTTTTTCAACAGCAAGTGAAAGTAATGCTGCTGCAAACTGATTTTTTGGGATGGGTGGAAAAAGATTAAAAAATGTTAGTACAGGCATCAAACCTGGAATTTCTCACAGGCTTTGACTCTTTTATTTCAGGAGCCCCTTAAATTTAAAAATGATGTCTTTCTCCCCAAAGGAGAAAGAATTGATAGCAAAAAGTCAGTGCCTTGAGGTTCTCTAATTTTTGCACTAGGCTGAATTTGGTTCTCCTGCCTTCCTCAGAGACATTTCAGCAGGACAACACCTTGCTGAGCAGCTCTATATGGAGATAATGGTTTCAGTTAAATGGGACCCAACAGGCTGTTGTGCATGTGACTTTTGTTTTCAGGTTCACACTGATCCTCCATCCAGCAGGGCACAGTGACAGGGCACTGTCAGAGCCTGAGTGACCTGAGTCACTGCACGCAGGCCCAAACCTCTGTGCTAACAAACAAATAGCAGCTACGTCAGGGGATCACACAGCATCACCCCACATATCTGCAGATGCTGTGGGCCAGGAAATGCTTCCTGACACCTACCAAAAGACAATGGCATGACACAGGAAGAAAACAGGAGGAAGTGAAAGCATTATCTGCCTACCAGATTCCTGGACCTTTGTCAATAAAATTCCCAGATGATGATCTGGGCTACAAAAAAAGTAAATTCTGCCTCTGCTGAAATTCTTCCTAATTAGGAAAAAAAAATCCTCTGGACCCTGTATCTGATGATTGGTTTAACATATTGAGCTGAGTAAGTAGCTGAACACCTGTACATATTTAATGTTACTAAGATTTAAGTAGTACTAGGGTTTAAGTAGTATTAAGTCATACAAATGCTTGCAATTTTGAAAGTATTTAAAATTACTGAAGTTTTTAATTCTAAAGGATCAGTATAGCTCATCTTTAGCTTTGCCTCACCAAACTGTACAAACCAAACTCATTCAGTGTCTCATAATACATTTCCAAAATCCCTTTAGCACTCTGTATCTTTCTTCAGTTTTACTTCACTTCAGTGTTGGTGACTAGAAAAGTCTGAACTATTGAAACTGAATTTTTACCAGTATTTTCTATAGCAGTACTAACAATTTCCTGGTTTTGCTAAAAAAAAATACCTTAAAGAATGAAAGCTACAATTTTACCACTGATTTCAATGAGGTCAGGATTTCACTCCCACATTCATTTAAAAAAAAATACCTCTTTTTCCCTACCTGTGGTATAAGAAGCACATCCTAAGGCTTAATGCCTATGTTTTTCTCCCAGGAACATCTTATTCCGACAAGTGTTTTGTAATGAGTCATGGTTGAGATACCACAAGCAAACAGAAAACTGAATACTTGCATCTTGAAATACATTTCCATTAGCTTTTCCTCCTGTCAGCTCATCAGTCATGATGAAACAAACATGTACACTCAAATTTTAAAAAAAATCATGGAAAAATTTGATCCAAATAATACATAGAGCAATTTTTAATCATAAATACATATTTCAAGCACTATTCTGGGACTGAGGAACTAAATCACTAGTAAAAGTGTTTATATAAGCCTCTCATATTCTGATATTCCACTAAATACTGTGGTTTTTTTCTGAATGCAGAGAAATAAATGAGTTAAAGTCATTTCATGCTAAAGAAGACAGTATTTGTTAGATTTTAAATCTAGAAATAATTCTAAAATACAAATAAAGCCCAAACTCACAAAACAGAATCTCAAATATATGGGGCTTTTAAGTTTCCTTGGGTATCACTGGAATATTGTGAAATTTGTGTGAAATGTTTGTACATTTGTTGGTTTGTTTGTTTTCCCTTTATGTAGTTTACATAGTTTTAAGTTTTCTTTAGGAAACGAGCATTTGACTTCTAGCAAAATGAATTCCTAAAGAAGGGAGGTGCTTTTGCTGTGCACTCCATCGGCTGCACAAGTAACCACAGATCCCGTGGAAGGGCTGTAAGGTGCAACTCGGCTGCTGTGCTCAACTATGCCCTGTCTCCATGGGAACATTTCAGCAGACGTGGTACCCACTGGCGACCGAACAAAGATTTTCCTTATTGCTCTGCAGAAGAGGCAAAATGTAATCTGCAGTGAATACAACATCTTTCCTTGACCCTGAATCTGTAAGCATTGGCAGGCCAGAGACATCACATCTTCCTTTTCTTTTTTTTTTTTCCCACTGAAAAAGAAGCAGTAAATAGGGAAGAGGGAAGAAATGGGAATTGTAGTACTTTAACAGTAAAAAAATCTATGTACATCAAGATGCAATATTTTGAAGTTAAGTTCAAAAACAGTTCTTTATAGAAATGAAGCCCTCAAATTAGCCACTCATAGTTCAGAGAAAAGTGTTTCAAATTGCAGTGGTGTGCTTGCTGGAACTATATTATAAGATAAAGAAATAAGAATAGTGAAGATATCATTGTATGAAAGAACAATAACCTCCATTTTCATTTCAGCTACTTTGAGCTGAGTTGTATAGCCTAGGGAAAGTCTTTTCACAACCTTAAAGGGACTGGAGTGGTTAGTGCTTTTGAACAGAGTATTCTGTTGGAGTCAGCACAGAGTAGGGAAAAACAGATCAGAAAAAGTACAGGGAGAAAGAAACCAACCAAAAGAATCTTGTCTTCTGTTCCAAAAGTTAGAAAAAGAAGTCAGACTTAAAACATACTTACTTTAGCCTCTGGTAAAGCTCCTTTAGGGACTAGCAAGTTTGAATGAGATAAAAATAATTAATAGCTAGGATTTTCTGTGCATTCCTCTCAGTGCCCAGTTCTGGTCACATGGGATGAAACATTAATTCTCCTTTTTTCCTGGATCTTCTAATCATACATGAAAAGCATATACAATCACAAGAGGAATTCAAAACTTACACTGATAAGTAAGACAGGGGTAAATATCTCTCTGTTCTTTTAAGTTTCTGAGTACCCTTTGAATTGGGAATGGTGACAGAATAAACAGTTTTTCAGCAGTCTCATCCTTCAGTACAGGAAGGATATCGATATCATCTGTATTCTGACACAGATGCCAGTAGTATGCCTACTTTATGTTTTCACTACACAAAATAAACCTTGCTAAGTAGCAAGGACAAACCATTAGTGTGATTACTACTAATAGTCTGCAACCTCTGCATGTAAAAAACCTTGCGCAATTAAATTTGTCAAGCATGACACAACGTGTTTTATTTATTTTTTAAAATAATTATCACACTGATATTGTCAGCTTTGTTTACCACAACATTGGTATATTAGCAATTTATGATGATTATGGTTTCTTCTAATTAGAATGGAGATTTTATTTAAAGTTCTCTGCTCAAATTATTCAGAGCAAAAGCTGACGTAATTCCAGCTGATGTTATCCAGCTGATTGTTCTTATACAGAAACTTAAAACTATGGTGCTGATATTCTTTCTGAAGAACCCCTGTTCTGTTCTGTTTTTCTTAGGAGATCAGAATAATTTCAGACTTCCAGAACTAAATAATCATAATGGATATGTGATAACCAAAACTGTGTGTTCTTGTGCTACCTCCTGGGCAGGCAGGAGCCAGCTCAGAGTTGCACTGGTGGTGTTGCTGGTGCTACAGCTTGAATTGTCAAGTCCTGTTGAAGGCTTCTTAGCTGCAAATTAATGCCACAGATGCTGTGACTTTGCAACAAACCTGTGTCCTATGTCATTCCAGACAGCACGGATTTGTGAGCATCTGCTTGAAGATGTGAAAGGAGCTGGGCACAAGAGCACAGTCAGCTGTTCACACACCTACTGAGGAAAAGGAAACACTTTAAAATTCAAATTCAAAGCATGTTTTCTTAGTACAGCCCACTTTACTGGATCCTTTAGTGTTTTGGTTAAGGCCAGAATGTGGTGAGGATGCTTACATTCATCTGTTAGAAAAATTTGTGATAATATTCAGGTCTTTAATGTGAAAAGATGTAACTCTCTCATAAAATACTTCTTGGTGTGTTTAGCACTATCTCTCTTGGGAAGGCATTTCCTTCAAGAATTACTTTGCTGTGGTTCCTGACCTCATGGTGGATTTGTTACTGCATTCATGACCCAGAAAATACATTGCATTAACTCCCTTGACCAAGCAGAATGGTCTGTAGTTTCTACCTTC